GAATTTCAACGCCGGGGCAAAGAAATTGCGTGGTTTCCCCAGGTGGATGGCGGCGGCGGCGGTGCCCATAAATTCGTTATGGCTCCTTTTCTTTTACAACTCCGCCGATTTTTACAATACCCGCTCCTCTCGGTGCTTGTTTTCTTATCCCTCGTACCTAAAATACCTAAAAGTCACATACAGTAAACTTTTCCTAAGGAATTCAGAAGAAGCTAACAAAACTCGCTTGTTTTTTATTAGTGTAAAAAATATTAAATTTGTAGATTTCAATTTACCTCTTCGAATCGTGTAAATTTGTTCGTAAATATCCGCACTACTTTAAAAAAACAAGTGAAGTTTATAATTATCAGACACGGGCAAAAAGGGATTTGTATGTTCCTGCCCAGACTTTGTTAATTTCTAAGCAGAACCCTTTGACTTGTTTAGCTGCTTTGTATAACAAATTGCCTGTTTCGATTCGCTTAGAGCCTTGATACAAGATTTTTGAAATTAGTTTGAGGCGATTTGTTCATTCACATAAATTTTATAGCAAAGAAAGAGTTTTTTCAACTAATTGGTACATTGTAATATTTCTGTTGTTTTTTACACTCTATTTTCTACTTGTTTTGTACTATGTTGCAAATGGGGCGCGTCGCAATGAGTAATTACATCGTGGTGAAGCCTCATACGTCAATAAAGATCAATCAATAATAATAATTTTAATATTATTTCATTTCAAGTTTTTAGTTTCCACCCGAATTAGATCGGATAAAAAGAATCGATACGCAACTTCCCACATGCCTGATTTGTTGAAAATTTAAATTTCAACCCCTCAGGGCAATAATAATGCGGTTCATGTAGTCCCTGGGGGTAGATGATGACGGGAAATATCACAAAACTATCACGGGCTCACCAGCTGCACCGAGTAATGCGAAAATATTGACGAAGTTGGCAAAATTAGCCAAAAATGACTGATCACGATGCCGAAAAATTTAATTTTTTTTTTTTTTTTTAATTTTTAATCCCGATTTGCCTAAAAACAAAATATCGCCATCCTATGAATCATTAACCAGAAGCGACATTTTTTGCATCTACCCAAAAAAATAAAAAATATGCTGTAACTAATTGTTAGAGAAAAATTTGGCTTCAATATTAAAATTGGTTATTAGTGACCTTGACCTTTGAACTACGCAAAAATAGTCAACAGAAAAGTTGTTCAGCACAAAAAAGTTGCGCCTATCACTTATTCTACAAAACCAAAGATTTAAACGTTATTCTGTTTTTCTAAAAACTCATGTTTCCGAAAAAAAAACATTTTAAAATTTTTATTTCAAAATTTAGTCGGAGTTTGCCCTTTTGGTTCCTAAATAATACAAAATGGTGAATTACGATGAAAAAATTGTGACAATTTAAGTTTAAATATTCGTGAACGGTCCCTAATAAGATCCTTTTTGTTACAGTTTGTAACAATGAAACGTAATAATTAAAATTGTTTTATGAAATTGAGGAAAGTTAATTCATCTTTGCGTTATAATTAAAATATTGCAAATTTAATTGAAAATTGGATATTGCATTTAATTAAATTTAGTCAAATTGGAAAATAATGATCCGTTATTATAACAAAAAATTTAAAATAAGAAGCAGCCAATTGGTGGACTGGTCGGAACTCGTTCTCAATCTCTAATTTTTTCTGGAAAATTAATATTCAACCTCGGCGTTTCTCTCAAAGGCGAACGGAAACCCCTGTAGTCCGGCTGATACACACACCGAGCTGGAGAACCATGTTGGCGCGAGGCAAGTCTCTTGACTATTAGGCTGCTTTGTTAGCGCCGGGTCGAGAAACGAGGGCAGCCAGTGCAGTCGGAGAGCAGAGCAGAGAGATTATTCTGACAATAAAAGCGACAGCAGCCCAGCTCTCTCCTTGAACGCGGCGGCGGCGGCGGCGGCAGCGAGATATCCTGCTAGTTGTCTTCTTGCTTGTCACCCCCGCCGCCCCCGCAGTTACCCTGCAGAGGTCCGCCGGGGGCAAATGAGGCTTCGACCTCCGTCGCATCTGTCAAGCAACTTTTTCTTATTCTCTCTTTGCGAAAAAAAAGAAGTGCTGGCGTCCGCCCTTTCCGCGACATTTAACCTCGCGCTTGCTTCCGGCCCACCCCAGGCCTTTCTTTGTCTCCGGCCGCGCGCAAATTGCAACACTCGCTTCTCCGGGCTGCCCTTTAACATGCAAATTCGGCCACTACCTGCAGAAAAACGCCACCAGTACAAAGAAATAATAAAATAATTCGCTACAATAATGCCTACAAAATTGCCAGCACAATTAAACTTAATTCCAAGTTGTAATGAAAATAAAATTTTGGTTCCGAATGACTTAAAATATAATTTGGCAAAAGCTCGGAAATTGTTTTATACACAAATTTGACCTCAAAAGTTGAAGTAAATTTTTCTTATAATTGGAGTAAAAGAAAGGTTTTTAAGTAAAAATTCTTTTCTTCATCATAATTTAAATTAAATTTTGAGTTGATAATATATGTGAGGTATGCGAGGAACGAAAAACGTTTCAAATGTTTTCTTTAACGACTTTAAGGTGATTCTTCTACGGGGTTTTGGCCAAAACTAGAAATGCTGCAATGGATTCCAAATGATTCAGATTATAAGATTTGAACTATTGTGTGTTAATGTTTCAAGTATAAAAATGATTTATTTTCGCCCCATCGCTTCTTTACAAGGGGCCAAAGTAATGTCCGAAGGTCGAAAACGGGTAAAAATCCACGTTTTTCTACCTTCTCATGCTCGTAACTTTCCATTTTGCAAAGTAAACTATAATTTTCTAGATAGCTTTCGATTCGCAAGATGTTAAAGTATCCAAAAAAAGCAAAAAAATTATAACTCTTCTGTCATTTTATTACCCTCAGAGAAATAGCATTTATAAATGGGCCATTAAAATTAAAAAAAAAACTTGATTTCTCAGGGGGTGATAAAATGACAGAAGAGTCATAATTTTTTTTGCTTTATTTGGATACTTTAACTTCGTGCAAATCGAAAGCTATCTAGAAAATTATAGCTTTCTCTGCAAAATGGAAAGTTACGAGCATGAGAAGGTAGAATTTTTACCCGTTTTCGACCTTCGGACATTACTTTGGCGCCTTATAAAGAAGCGATGGGGCGAAAATAAATCATTTTTATACTTGAAACATTAACACACAATAGTTTAAATCTTATAATCTGAATCATTTGGAATCCATTGTAGCATTTAAAGTTTTGGCCAAAACACCTTAATCGTGTCTGAACGTGCGGATTATTTATGAGAAAGAAAATGCAGAATTTAATTTTTCCAAGAAAAAAAAACAATGAAAATTTTGTTTTGGTGGAAAAAATCTGATCCCCTGGCGCTCTGTAAATACTTAATTAACAAAAAAGCACGTAAATAGTGTCCACGCAGCATCATTATTTACGTATTCAGGGCAATGCAGCTGGCGCGCGCGAACAACACTACAACTCTTGTCGCCGATTCCAGCGGTATTTTGTAATAATATGGTGACATACGAGCGTGTGGATCATAAAAAAGTTGGGTCCTTTTTGCACTCGGGATGGCTAATAAATAATAATTACGCCGCAACAAATGTACGTAGAGGGGCGCAAGCAAGCAGCGCACGTACCACCGCCGAGTTTTAGCACACGACGGACACCCTCGCTTATTGTCTTTACACCGGCTCTGCATTAGCCCCAAATATATATATATGAACTTATGCACTTGGGTGGAGGGTACAATTTTCAGACACGACTCCGACGAGGAGGGAGAGTGAAAAACACGAAATTCGCCGCGAATTTCCACACAGGAGGTCGAGCTTCAAAGTTTCGGTCGTGATGAATTGTGGAATCAAGGATGGGCGCGATCTCAAATTTTTGCGATTGCGATCGCGATCTTGAAAATAAAAAATTGTGCGATTGCGATCGCGATCAAAAACGTTGCGATCATTTGCGATCAAATATATTTAAAAAAAAAAAAAACATTTCTGAACGGTTTTTTTATCAATTCTGGTTTCAGAACGAGGAGTCCGAACAAAAATGAACTCCGTAAATGAAAAGCCTTAGTTTAAGAAATTTTTCTGTAAAATTACCTGAAATTGACATTTATTCTTCCAGATTTAGCATTAAATTCGCCCAGATTAAGCATAAAAATTGCTTTCCTCGATCGCAAAAAGATCGCAAATGATCGCGATCATCTTTTCAAAAATTGGTGCGATTGCGATTTTGTCCATCCTTGTGTGGAATTAATTTTTTCTCACAAAAAAACAGAAAATAAATCATGTTTATTCCATTTTGTACTTTGTTGAATTTCACGATCAAGTGTTGAATCGTTGTGTTTCGGCTGCGGGCTGCAGCCATAATTCATGAGCTGTGAAATAATTTTGACAAGAAATTATTACAAAAATCAATCTTTTTTTTCAAACATTTTTCTTTCAAAGTAGCAATTTTCCGTGAAAAATTATTTAAAGTCACATTTTTTCACCAAAATTAACACAAAATTTGACATTCAATTCAAAATTTGTTTATAAACAAATTAATTTTTATAATAATTTTGGTCAAAATATTAAATCGTGTGTTTTAAGCGTACCTTTCTCTGTGGTGGTCGAGAGAAGACTAAATTATTTTCGGTTGGTTTTTCAGAGATAACATAGAGGAAAAGCCGACTTTCAATGTTCATTCCACAACATAAGAAAAGACCTCATTTAAAGGAAAGTTGTTTTGTTATCTTATAATTCTAATATTAATTATAATGTTATTTTTTTAATAATATTATTCATCCTTCAGATAGATCTAATGCTGTAAATTAAAGATTAGGATGATATTATTAGGACGCTCCGAGTTGGGCAGAAACAACAAAACACCTTACCAAGTTGCTTTTCCACTGATCTAGAACCTGAAGAAGGCTGTGAATTACTGCAAAGAGAATAATTAATAGCTTTTTTTCATGCATAGGAAGTTTTAGGCATTTTTTTTATATCAAAACGATCGATTGGTCAAATTGAATGAAACATGATTTTATTGACTGGATGCTCGTGACACATAATTGATTAGTCTTGTCAATTGCCTCTATTAAAATTGATCTGTGGTTTGGCATCCTTTGCGCGTGGGCCGCGCAAAATTGATGAGGTCGTAGTTGCACACTTACTGCTTTTTCCCTCTTGTCGGTGATGATATATTTTTTACTAAATTGTATTTCTTTTTTTTTTAATTTGCGCATAGTCGCTTTGTCTCTACATCCAATGATGGTCGCAATATATACAGTCAACATAAAATATATCCGTTATCATTATGTGTGTATAAAGAGAGCCGTTTTCATATTCATATATAACATGGGAGGGTTCTTTTCATGTTTATTTAAATTACAGTGCATTTTATATCTCGTTAAATCCATCATAAAGTAATGTAATTTGTGTGTTTTGAGTTGTGTGTCTTTGTGCACGTCAACTACACTCAACTACTTTTCAACCGAAATTCATACAAAAGCTCTTGTGATATAATTAATTCCTTGATGATAATATTAGAAGAGTGCAGTTTAGAGGGGTTTCTTCAAATACTTTTAATATTTTCAACTCACTTTCTCTCTCTTCGGACACTGCCGTCGTGTAAAACATTCACAGTAATTATAGCAGGCGGTCATTATTTGCCAAAACAAAATAACAAAAAACTTTCCAACTTTTAATTAATTGTTAAAAATTGATGATGAAGTATCTTCAATTATAATATTCTTGATTTTTTAAAAATTGAAAGTTTTACCACTTGGGACCTCCTCATAAAAAAAAGAACAGATGTGCTCCTAATTTTCAGATGCATTGTTCTATTTATCTAGAACAGTGAATTTGATCATTAAATAAATTGGGACTTTATTTATTCTTAATGAATTTCTTAAAAAAATCCTTTGTTATTAAGATTGGATTATAGCTAAGAAACTCCATCATCAATGTCAAAATTTGAAAAAATCCACCAACAAAATTAAATTAAATAAAAATATTTTCTCTTTTTGTTTGTTATTATTCATTAAAAATAATTAAAAGGAAAATGAAGAGATCGGGCTTTTCCTCGTTGTAAAATTTGTTTTCATTCAAAATCAAAACGTCTCTTTTGGCCACGGTCTGCAACCCTATTTCAGGAGCTAGAAAAAAAAATCAAATTTTGGTGTTTTTCAATTTTGCTGATTTTTTTAAATTTTTTTTGTTCATGAAATAGGGTCGCAGACCGTGACCAAAACTTTTTTTTATTAATAAAAACCATTTTAAGAAAAGTCCAATCTCTTCATTTCAATGATCATCTCCTCAAATGTCACTTCAAACAAAATAATTAAAAGATCATCAAATTAATAAATGATTTGGGACGGTAGCTGTAAAAATTTTCCGCCTTTTTCTAATAAAAATGCATAATTTGAAAGAAAAAAAAGACAGCACACTCATCCATCTTCACAATAAAGCGCAGCTTGTTTGATATCAGCGCCGGGCAGTGTCCCAAAAATCCAAACTCAAAACACTCTCCGACGATAGGATTGATTTTGGTCCGGAAGATCCAGGGGCGGGCTAATTTTACAATCTTTTTTGTTGTTTAATAATTATTATACAATTTGATCGCGTAAACCGCGGGACACCGATCCGAATCACTGCAGCATTCACACTGGTGGAAGATTGTGTTGTCACTCTCGCGTCTGCTTGCGCCGCGTCCAACGTGTTTTGTCACTCGGGAAATTTTGGCACTTGGAAATTCATCATCACCATTTTCGTCGGCGGCACTGGGAAAATCAATCGTGGCGCAGTTGACACGACGGAGCCGCTCGTCCGTCGTGGCGTGAGCAAGATATAGTTTCAGTTAATATGAGACACGCTCGCTGGCTCGCTTTTAATTAGCAGGTAAACGAATGGGCCAGATGCCTCGTATGAGCACGGCGGTGGCGCTGGCGAGCGCTATTTGCGGTTGTCCACACCAGACGGACATGCTGCTCGAGCCTGCAACAATTTGGAATTCAAATTTACTCGATGCATCCTCCTGTGGACGAGCTAATTGCCTGTCGTGCGGCAAATAAAATATGCATGCTCTCTAGTTTTCGGCCGCCGCCGCCGCGAGCAACAGTGGCCGATGCACTTTTGCTCTTCAAAGTGAGCGCGGTTTTGAATATAATTAAAAACGATTAATTACACAGTTTCATTCGAGAGCAAAACGTTGTGGGAATTTTAATGAACTCTGGCCTAATTTCAAAATCATTAAATTTCATCAATTTAAAACTGGTAATGTAGGTTTTAAGGAGAGGCTTAAGCAAAAAATAAAAATTTTAATAAAAAATTTTCTCTTTATTAGCATTGGTTTGTAGATTTTAGTTGCGTGAGACTTAGTAAGAAAATTTGAATTTATTGGGAGAAACTGAATTTTGAAAACTTAACATTGTTTCTTATGGGAATTTACTTAAATAGTTTTTTTTTCTCAAAATTGGCTGAATAAAATTGATAAAAATTTCACCAAATCACGTTAATTTTACCCAAATTAAGATGGAAAAATAAAATCAATAGGTCAGTTGACATAAAAATTTGCATTTTGATCTTATGGGGAAAGATTGGGAGTATGAATGTCATAAGCTCCTCGTTAATAATTTCATTATTGAAATTTCTAAATAATGAGGCTCTGATAGGCCTTAGAACTCCTGCTTCCGCCTTTACACTCTTGATGCCCCTTGATGGCCTGCATGAAAATCAACTTAAAACTCAAGGAAAACTTGTAACATACAACAAATATAAGAAAATTTAGAAAAGAAACCCTGAATAACACAAAATTTCAGCAATTATATGTGGCAGGGTGGGTAAAAAAAAAAACACGAATTATTCTTGTACTTTAAAAATGCACAAAAAAATCACTTTTTTGTTGATATTTTTATAGAATTTTAATTTAATGTGTGTATCTTCAAAAATATCAAATCTTGAACCTTTTTTTTCTGGCGCACAAAGTTTGATACTAAAAATAATGGAGAGTTGTAAAAAATTAAGCCCCTGAAATAAAACTCTTGATGCTTTCTGTGCATAAAATAAAAATAAAAAACCGGCCCTCTGGTCACTAGAATGGAAAAGATGTTGTGTGGCGACAGAAGCAGCTCTGCTTGGCAGCCGCTCAGCAAAAAAAAAGAAGATTTAACGTATATTCGGAGCAAAGGCGCTTTATTTACTTAAAGATTATCGTCGAATTTTGAGAGCGGGCTAAAATCTAATAACGATTATAAGCCCCTTTGGCGTTGCAGAAAGGAGATTTTGAGGTTTGGTCATGGCAGGGTCAGAGGGGTAAGCCTCGGCAGTCGGGAAATGTCACGATCCGGCCGACGATGTTGCCAAAAAAAGAGAGAGTGTCGGAGCCGGAGATTTTGCGTCCGTCGCCGGTCAGGCCAACGGATCTAATCTTTCTCTCCTCGGATCCAATATCAGTTCACTTTATAAGCGCCGGCGAGAGTTTATATATCTAATATTGACCAGGCATGCATCTTCTTCTTTTTTTTATTCTTATATCCCAAACATCCGCAAATGCGCTTTTTTCCCCGGCGAATTTGCATAAACATATTCACGAGTGGCATTCTTTGGGGCGACGGGAAAATCTCTATTGCTGCCACTGGCCGTCGGAAGGCTTATGTGTGCGCGAGGGAAAAAAAAGTAGCAACCAATATTGCAATAAGATGTGCTTGCTTACAGCGGCGCGGCTTTGCAGCGTTTAAATTTATTTGAGACAAAGTTTAGCGCCTCGCGCGCGCGTTAAACCAACATAAAACTTGATTGCCTCTCATGCGGGGATTAAGCGCAAAAATTTATCGAGCCGCCTCTCGCGGAAAAGTGCCTTTGACATTTATTAAATTCGCGCCGCTCATAATTGATTGCGCTTAACACTGTGGACCTCGCAACAAACACGTCCAGGCACAAATATATCGCAAAATATAACAAAATTAACAAACCTGAAATTTCAATCCATAGCTTTTCTCTAATTATTCAAATAGAAAAATTAATCAAATTGAATTTCTTGAAAATTTAAATAGAGAACAAGTGTCTACTTTAAAATGTAATTGATGTTCATAATAAATTTTAATTGTTTTTATGTGAAGAAAATTTGCTTAAAATTTAAAATAATATATAATATATAATTATTAATTATTGGTATGGATATTTTCATTTCAATGAATTTAAATTAATTAAAATAAAACCAGAAAATAATAAACCGTTTTTAATCGAATCTGCAAATAATTTCTAATTAAAAATGAGAACATACGGGCGGATTAGATTTAAAATAAATTGGATTTTTTTCTAATAAAGAATATATTATGCAAAAGGTCGACCAAATGGATGAAGCCGGTGAAATTTTTGAAAGCGTCTCACGCCCCGTGTTTTTTTTTTTTTTTTTTTTTTTTTTTTTTTTACAAAAGAAATTTGGTTGAGTCAGCCAGACTCGGCGCGTCAATGATGGCGAAAGGGTTCCGAGTTTAATGAAATCACCAGTGCTCTGGCGCTTTTTGCATTACGCGCGCGCGACAGAAAGGAAACCACATTTCAGAGAAATGGGCTCCATCTTGGCACCTTTGACGTGGCTTTGCCCAAAAATGGATCGCCGTCGCACCGCAGACCTCGGCCCCTATCAAGCTCCGTCCGGGCTAAATTCGATGGCAATCTCGCCGCGTCGGGATTTTGAGGATATTCGCAGGGAAAAATTAAAATTTGCTCACGAATCGGTTGCAGAGGAAAATCGACCAGCTTTATTTCTTGCTTGAGTGGCTTTGAATAAAAGAATATTGTGTGCGCTGGACGTCGAGAAACACATTTTCTAGAAGTGCGCGATGTCGGATTGCAAAGGTGTCGGTTCCTTTTTTCTGATCGTTGAATGGAAGTCGTTACTTTTTCTACATGCAAACGCCTTCTTTGTAAAGTCAAAGCCATGCAAGCATGAAGTGGATAGACAGAATTTGTGTTTCACAGAATGTCTAAGTAGCTCGGGAAACGCCTGTGTATATTGGAGAGTGGAACGTTTATGGTGTTTGTTATTCCATTGTAATGGTAAACGCGCGGTCGAGCAAACGGCTAAGCTTATTTGATCATTTAAATATAATTCAATTTATTTAGTTAACTTCATTTAATAATATTATTTAAGTATTTGTATTAAATAAAAAGATTTACTTTCTTTTGCTGTTTTTTTAATAAGAAAATATTTTAAATTTATTAAAATAAAAATAAAAATACTGTCGTTTAAAATTATAAAAAGCCTCCGCTTTTAAAAAGACATAAATTCCGCCATTTTTTTTTTTTAAATAAGCACAGCATTAATAAAAATCCTGAGAAAATCTTGATTAGAGTGGTTGAGGGCCAGTACCTTGATCACCATGCGAATCTGCAACGGATGGAGGTGCAGGTCTGGGTTTGGGGGTCACCGCAGACACCTCTGAAGAGGAGAAACTCGCCCCCCTCTTGGTGCCAGACGCCTGTTCGCCACCGAGAGGAGTGATTTCTGAGGGCCGAGTCGAGTTTCTGCCGACCACACGCTCTGCAATTATGCACAAAAAGCACCCCCGGGTCAGCGATCTGCTGATTTTTTTGTCCCACAGAGAAAATAACAAAGCTGTACACACTCTTTTTTTTGTTTTTACTGGCAATGAGTTTTTTTAAAAAAAAATAAGCTTTTGGCTTAAAATTTTTTTATATCAAACAAGGAGACGAGGAAGTCATTTGAGAAAATGTGCAAATGAGATTTTGGTTTGACAAAACATCAGCACAACATGCCAAGCCCCGGGCTTGATGAAGTAATTCAGCCAGGGTAGTGTTTTCTGGTGGGTCTTCTTTTTAAGTTTCATTTTAATATGGTTGTTTTATTTAAAGATAGAGATGATTTAGGGGTTGAAGTTTAAGTAGAGGAAAAGTGCACATGCGCAGAGGTTTTCTAAAAAGTGTAAAACGTTTTGCAGTGTAAACATTGAAAACTTGACAGAAAATCAGTAATTTTAAGGTTAAAGGAGCAAACGTTGAGTAAGCACACGAAATGGTTGGCACAAAAGAAAACGGGCAAAATAAAAACATTTCCCAGCAAATAAACGAGGTCTGAAGGCAGTCTTTTGCGAGGCAATCATTTTATGCAGCTCGCCAAGCGAGGATAACGCAAATAAGATGATTTTTCACCGCGCCGCGCAGTTTTAAATTGTGTGCTTTTGCGACAGACGGATGAGTTGAGAGGAGCGCCAGGCAGCGGCGGCAACCCTCCGAAATAAAGGGGTGATTCATTACGAACACCTGGCAGAAAGTGCGGGGCCGCTCAAGATTTACAGGAAATAAAAAAAAAAGAGGAGAAGTGTATAAATTTCGGAACAAAGGAGCAGAGGCAGAAGAGAGAAATATATAATTTGCGCAAAAACAGCAGGCAGCTGCAGGCAATTAAAATTAAGAGTCGCATGCAGAGAGAAGGAATAAAGTAGCGTTATGTGCAGTAATTTGTGGGGACAGAAAACCATGTCCTGTTTGTAAATAGACAAATTCCCTGTCCAAAGTCCAAAGGAAATAAAAGAAAAGTAGAGAAAGAAAGAGAAGTTGGGAAAAGCAAGAAACTCACCATCTTTGCTTGCTCCACTGCGAATTTCAGTCGCTTTCGGTGGAACCGATGGCATTGGGATTTCTGAAAGTAGAGATTCAGCCTTTCAGCAAACGAGACTTCTCGTCAAAGCTTTGTTATTTATTTTGTACACATGTGTGTGCCGTGAAATGGACAGCAATTTGCTTTTCTGTGCGCTCGTAATATCGATCGATTGGTCACTGCTGTAGCAATTTTATCGCCAAGTGGATTATGATATTAAATAATTTTAATCGCGAAGTGAGCGGCATCATCATCAATATCAATAAATATCGCGCTATTGTTGTTTCATGTTATAGTGCGCTGGACCCCTCCCCTGCTCTCGCCATCAAAATTTACATAAATGCGCGTGCTTCACGAGTAATAAACAGGCCGATGTGATCGACCAAGCAAATAACTCTTTCGCCGCACTCGCAAATAATGCATCATATTTTGCTCGGGCCGGGTGCAAGCCTGCGTGTTTGACACTCTCTAGCAAATAGGGATTAATCGTCCGATACTTTTCCCGCTTGTCTCCGCACCGTGATTTATTCCCGATTTATTAATTTATTGTCTCGCTTACTTTCACCACTTTTCGGGGAAAAAAAATAAACAAAAGTGAATGTATCGTCAGGCGGTAGTTCTCTGAATTTTGATTAAATGTGATTGACTATTCACATCTCCCGACTGAAAAATAAAAATAAAAACGGATTGCATGCTTACGAGTGAATACATTTTTTATTTTGTTAATTTAATTAATTGGCCTGATTGAGAAGATAAGAATGGGAAGATATAGGCGAACACCGATCACAATAATTTTCTTTACAATAAGAGCCTAAATAAAGTTGAAGTTTAAAGCTTGAATTTAACCATTTTGAAGTTGAAATTTGTGAACAAATTGAGTTTTGCAGTTTCTGTGAAAAGGTGTAAGATGTGCAGTTTGCCAAAATAAAAATGAGAAGCCCGAAAATAAGTTTTGCTGAAAGTTGAAAAAACAGCATTCTTGGAATGAAATGAAAAAGTGGTGCACAAAAAATGTATAATTATTCCGTGTATAATACCGTAAAGTCTAATGGATCCCTCGGTTTCGCCGAGCGAGTTCTTGGCAATGCACCGGTAGTTGCCGAAATCCTTGTCCCTGAGGTTCCTGATGGTCAACTTCATGTGCGTGCGGTAGCTGTTCTCCGTGGTCGACGTGATGTACTTCTTGGTCGAGAGCAGCATCACCGAGTCGTAAACCCAATAGCTGATTGCTCGCGGGTACGCCTCGGTGTGGCACTCGATGGTCACGTCTGTGCCTGCAGGGGCGCCCACCAACTGGTTCGGCACCCATATCATCGGCAAAACTGGAAACAAATAATTAAATGCAAATTAGATTCATATTTTTTTTAAAAAGCTCATGTAAAATTTATTAAAAAACCTAAACATTTACATTTTTCAAAAAATAAATTAAATTTTTGGTAAGATAAATATATCAATTGAAGTTTTTGTAAGTGAAATAAAACTTCACAATGGTCAAAATTTTAGATCATTTTTATTTTTAATGAGCAAAAGCAATGAAATATGACTGGTTAGGCTTTAGCAAAAAACGGCCTGATAAATTTTGATAATAAAATTTTTAATTTTTACATTAGCATCGGTTTGTAGTTGTTAGTTCGATGGATACTTAGTAAGTAAATTTGAATTTTTGGAAGAACAAAATTTTTAAAATTTTTCTTATGGGAATTTTCTAACAATAGGATCATTTTTTCTCTCTCAAAATTGGCATCAGGGTTGACGAGCGCTCTGAAAGAGCGCTCAAAAGAGCGGAGCGCTCGCGCTCGCGAGCGGAGCGCGAGCGCGAGCGTCGATTTTTTTCATGCCGCGAGCGGGAGCGCGAGCGTTTTTTCAAAAGAGCGCTGAAAAAGAGCGCTCATTTACGCTCTTTTTAGGGACCAAAATTGATGAAAATTTCACCAAACCACATTCATTTTACCCAAAATAAAATCAATCTTAGGTCATTCAACACCAAAAATTTACATAGATCTTATGGGAAAGGATTGAGAAGTTTTTTTATAGTGTAGATCAGTATAGATGTCTTAAGCTCCTCGTTAATATTATTATTGTTGTTTATTCGTCCAAATTGTTACATCACATTGTTTACATACAGATTGTTGAAAACATTTATTTGGAAAAAAGAAATTGTTGGACAAAACGGCACCACCACTAGCAAAAATTTTGCTAAAACTTCCGAGGCCAAAAAGACCCCATCCGCCGCAGTGAGCCTCGGTTGACTAAGTTTTGTTCTTTATTATGGAGGTTTTAGGAGTGACCCTTAACGAGCTTCTTCTGGCAAAGCCAATTCAGTTAATTGCTTGATTGTTGCACATATTTTAATTCTTGAGTCTTATTGTAAAAGACTCCTTTGAATTGTTTAAAAGGATAAAAATAATTTTCTATACACTTATTTTAAAACCATTTTGCGCAATTTAAAGCGGAATTTGCCAGACCATTCAAATAAGTGGTCCGTTTATAAGAATCCTCTTGAGACTTTGCATTGTATTCCCAAGAGGGATAGGCAGTTAACAAAAATTAAAAAAAAAAAAAAAAAAAAAAAAAAAAAAAAAACTTTGAATACAACTCGGTGCTTTTTGGCCAGAAACTCTAGGAATTGTTTTACAACAGCAGCCATTAATAAGACGGTGCCGCATAGAGAAGCCGCAAAGAGGCAGAAAAAATAGCTGAACATGTCGGCAACTTTTTATATTCGGGGCCGCGACGCTCACACACATCCACATTTTGCGCCGCACAATCGACATTAGGGAAAGTTGGCTTTGGCTATGCTCGCGCAGCCCGTGTAACAGATGCAACTAATGCGAGTGTCCTTGTCCCATCTCGCCGCCACTTTTTACATTTTTTTTCCGTCTTCTCGCTTTTTTTTATTTTCACCGCGCGCACGTATTGTAGTCGCTGTAGTGAGCTGGGGCTTTCGGAATGGAACATTCATGAGCGGAGCAACCGCCCTTCGCCGCGAATCTAGATATTTGATATTTGGCACGGCGCTGCCGCAGACTCCGCCGCCGCAAGAAATATTTCCCTCGCGAGCAGATGAGTGCTTTACTGATATCAGGGCCGTGTTATGGCTCTCGCTTGCTACACGACTGCAATAGTAATGCAGCACACAAGTGTGTGTTTGTACACGACCGATCGCGCGCTTACGACTGCCACATGCTTCCGAAGACGTTCGCCCAGTCGATGCTTCAAACGAATAACTTGAAAAATTCGCTATCTAATAATCGCACGCATCTGCAACTTTTTTTCAGCTGAATGAAAATTTCAAAAAATGGGATTCGTGCTGCGATTTATAAAAATTTAGATTCCACTGGAAATCAGATTTGATGATGAAAACGTCGGAAAGTATATTTTATATAGATTATGAGCTAATTTTTAAAGACGTTAATTTAACAAAATTTTGCTTAGCAAACTTAAAAAGAGTGAAGACGAGGTATTTTCAGGTATTTCAAAAGAGTACTTGATCTTTAAAACTAATGTTTCTCTCTCTAATGATTCTCTCTATCTGATTTTAAAGTTCCATGAATAAAATTAATACCTTTTGCGATTTGTTCGCCAGAGATGCTGCCATTTCTTCACATAATTTTCCATTTCATTTATGACTAATTTGTGAAGAATAAACAAAGCAATGAAATAATGCTATCCGCGGGGAACAAAATAAAATTTTTGTTTTGTATTGTTTCTTGATAAAAGTTAATAAAGAGTAGAAAAATCCTAAAATTGTTTTATGTTTAACTTTATATTTCTGAATTTATGTATGATTATTTGGGCAGATATTGCCTGAAGATTAGCGTCGTCAATAAACTTTGAAATTGAAACTATGTCTGTAGAATATCTATGTATATGTACATATTTTATTAAATGTATCATACGGCACTGGCTTTTTTAGATTGTGCAACGTCAAAACCCACAATCAGATCTGATAAGGCATATATGGGGAAGTAGTGTTGTTTTATAATATATAGCCTCTATTAAGCCAAGTAAGCAGCAAAGATTAGTTTTTCCTGAAGTTTAAATTCTGATTATTGGCAGAAACCACATCCTGAGATAATGAAAAGCATGCAGCGAACTTTGAATAAAAAACCCCTTAAGCTTATGTTCAAATGGCGTCGCCATGGTTGGACGGCAGGCTGGTGCTCAAGCTTCTACCCATTGTATTTCTGATTCTGATACATAGCAGGTAGCTAAATTTATCATTTGTATAAATGCAAGCGGATGTAATTTGATAATTATTTGAATTTAATCAAAATTATTTTTGTCAATTTTTTTTTTTAATTATGAATTGATTTAAAGTATCGAACATATTTATTATTTACATATTTATTTAACAGGATTGAAGTGTAACATGAAATAATTAATTCAACTTAACATATACATATATAAAAATACTTATATTTTTCATACTTACAATATTATTTTTGCTCAATTTTGATTGCTTTTAGTGTGGAAGCTACCCGAGGAACACATTCTAAAAATAATTTAGGTGAGTTTTCTAAGCTACAGCAATAATCTAAATTTATGATTGATTTGAAGAACAATAAATTGCACAAGTAATTTCTTTAAATTTAATGATGTATCTTAAATTATGATTAAATTTCCATGATATTTTAATTACAAGCTACTGCATATAACAATAACATATCACTTTATATTTTTTTTTTCGGAGAATTTGTACATATTGAAAAAAAATTGATGAGATATAATTAATATTATTTAATTTTTAATCAATAATTTCTTTTAAAAATAAGTTGATCATATTTCACAGATTGTGAATGGAAGGAGGATTTGTGCAACGAAGCTCGTCCTTTATTCATCAACCCGCAAATGAAGGTTGGTCCATTTTCAACTTTGTACGCGCCTCTGCCACCAAAAATTGGAAAACACAACCCGGCCCTGATGCGGGTGCCGAATGGTCAAAAGGTGGTCCTAGCGTGCTCCGGCAAAAGGAACTCACTGGTGCGACGTAGACGCAAAACGTACGCCGAGTTGGAATGCCGTGAAGGGACATTCTACGAAAACAACGCGAAAGTTGACGACTTAAAGACACCCTTGAGCGAGTCATGCCACTCAAAGCAAGTCGTGACCTTTGAGGAGCACGAGAATAACGGCGAACTGAAGACCTTTGACCTCTCCATGCTGGTCATCGCCTCTAACAACGAGGTGTACTTCAAGGTGCGCGTGCTTGACGGCGTCTTCGACCAGAACTGGAATGTTCTGCTGACCAGGATGACGATGACCAAAGACATCAAGAGAGCGGTGTGCGTTGGCAAAAGGTACGAAGGTTTCTTCCACGCTTACGGCAAACAAGATTTGATAGATATTTCCTCAACGTACGGCAAAAATTGGTACACACATGTAATGTCCTCGACGTGCCTTCCCTCCGCCGTGAAGAAGTTACGTAGTTCAGACGTTCTTTACAAAATGTTCGGCACATCAACTGTGCCCGTCGCCGACTCAGAAAAGTACCTGTCGAGGGGCCACCTGTCGGCCAGCAACGACTTCCCCTTCAAGTATCAACAGGACGCGACCAGCTCGATGCTCAACGTGGCGCCACAGTGGCAGAGTTTCAACCTAGCTTGGAATACAGAAGTCGAGGAAAAGACCCAAAGTATGGCTGCCAACACAGAGAAGGGTCTTGTCGTATTGACCGGCACCCTCGGCACTCTCAAGTTGCCCCTGGATTGTGGCTGGACGGGGAAGAGTCGAGATCGGAGCATCAACCGAATGGTGATCAACACGGACAAGAACAACAACATTCTGGTGAAGGACATCACCATCTACAAGAACAACTACAGGGTGCCCGAGATCTACTGGAAACTGACGTACCCTGTGGGTGCAGAAGGCGATGTGATGCAGGAGGGAACGGTTAAGATCGGCTTCAACACTCTCCACACTTCGGGCCAACTGGAAAAAGAAAACCAGCTCTACCAATTGCTGAACGGTTATTGTAAAAAAATGGTGAACAAGGAAGTAGCGATTTTTGACTGCTCGGTGGGGAATTTCTTCTTGTCGGTCGATGCTGATTGCGAACCACTGCAGCTGCCGCAGAAACTGATGAAGCTGCTTGAAGGAAACTGAAGGAAACGTTAAGAAATTGAAACAAACAATTTATTACAACATTGGAAATTTTAAAAGCATCCTCGCTGTGCGTAAAAAAATAATTTAGATTCAAAAAAAGTTCTTATTTTCATTTTAGTTTGAAATTTATGATTTTGATTTATTTTGTTAAGTAAAGGTGAAAGTTGGGCCGCAGAGTGGCGAAGTGAGCGAGCTAATTACGCAATAATTTCATTTCATTTTATTTCCTTACAACAGGTCAAAAGCATTTGAGTCAAAATTTACATTACGGAGAAATAGGCTTTACAGTACTAGTGAACAACTCACTGAAAACTCATATATCATTGAACTGAAACAAACAAGAAATTTACCTCCGCCCTCAATACTCGCGCCGAACTGTAGCCTTAAAAAATTAATCTATTAATAATAAGTGAATACTTTGACTAAGTAGAAATAATGCACAACTTTGTATGGAAAAATGCAAAGTTTAAGGATGTATTTACAAAACGATTCTGCAAAATAATTATTCTGAAATAATAATAATTTTAAATATAATACAAAAACTGACTGTACGTATTGTAAATTTTGCAGAGATTTTTGTCCACAATATAATAATTAAAAGTTGCTCAGCAAAGAAAATGGGCCGAAATTACTCTTTTACATTTATGTGTTTTAGTCTTACTCCATGTTTTCACCTACTATGTTTAAAAAACATTAGTTTCTCTATAGAAAAAATTTATTAATGAATTAATGAAGAAAAAAATTAATCCCACGATGCAATGAATCGGCTAATATCTGATTTCCCAGCTGTTTGAACATTTCATTTGCTGCTGCATCCCCCTGGACGACAAATTACGTGTGTATTTTTTGCCACAATGGGGCGTACGGGCGGTGCGTCCGGGATATATTATACATATTTCGTATGCTGCGGAACAAAACACATATCAAGCATAATAATAGTAAGCCTGGCCTCGGGACTTGCACTTATTCACGCTGTTGTGTAAATGTCAAGATAATGTAGGATGGCACTTTGTGTGTTGCGGCCTCTATTATAATAATTATTATCCTTTTTGCCTCTCGTCGTCGTCGTCGTCGGTGGAGAATACATTGTTCTGCCGCTCGCTCTCTCTCTCGTATTTACATGAATGTAAGTGAATGTAAGAGAAGCATTGTTTGCTGTTCAGACCGACGGGGCTGCTCCTTTTGTTTTAATTTCCTACATGGCAAAAATTCCGCAGGATATTAGCATTAGCCTCTGGAGGTTCACCATTTTTCGCGCGCGTGCATATATAATATTCACATACACGTCGGCAATGGTAAGCAAAATAGGCGGTATTTTCCTTTGGTAATAAGGCCATTTATTTGTCGGCTTTAACTTTTCCTAAAACACATTTTTTTTCTATTTTTATTGCGAATTAAAATTTTAAAATGAAATTAACAGAGTCAAGAGCTACTCTCATTGTCAGAGATATAAAACAATTAGGGCAATTTATTTTTATTTGACAGCCCTGACAAGATTTATCACATCATATTCTGAATTCATAGTAAGAAATGAGGGAAAATTATGCTGCAATAGACAAAATACATCATGTTGATGTAAAAATTAAAAATAACCTAAAATCACACCTTTGCTGAAAATTCTCGTATTTTACATCTATTTATTTAGAAAATAACAACATATTTTAACCTAAAATCACTCTTACTCCATTAGATCTAATTTTTTGATCCTTAATTTCACCTTAAATTTTACCCAAAAATGCATACTTCAAAAAATTCACCAAAAACAATTAATGACGATGATGTAAAAAATATTCACCTATATTTTTCATATATTATGGCTTTTTTCAGGTAAAATAAACTAAAAATAAACCTAAACAGTCACCGATATCGCCAATAAATATCATATTTTTAACCCAAGCCTCTTCATACTTTCATTTTCGTATTTCCACTTCATATTAATTAATATTGCAAATATTTTACATCAAAATTTTGTCTCTGCGACTGTTTTGCATGCAGATGTTTCTGATGAATTTCTACTCAAAGTGGGTCGCAACACGAGATTTGCTCGAAACTAATTAGAAAGGCGTCGTCCGGCGAACGAGAGACGGGAACGGCATAAATTCGCTCTTCCGACTCTTGATTGTCGCGAGTAGCTTCGACCTCGGCGCTCCCTCAGGATGCCGACGGTGCGCGCGGGGGATGATGATATTCGCAGTTGGCGGGCCTGTTTATTGTTATGACGTGCCGCACGCGCCTTCCTCATGGGTAATCTATATTCCCGGCTAATTAATTGATTTTGACACCGGCACCTGAATTATTCATGGCGGCGCCGCGCTGGCTGCAAGCGCCAAAAATTGGCGCAGTCTCTGAATAAATTAATTAGTTAATTAATTAACGCGTCAGTGCCAATTAAGCAGGGCGACGACTGCTTTCTTGCCGAATTAAGCCGGCGCGCCGTAGATTGATTTCTCGTCTCGTCTTGACTGCGTTTGTTACACGCATGTAATCAAAAGCGGGGTCGAGACTCGAGACGAGCACTCGGGGAAAGCAAGCGCAAGATTATCAATCTTCGCGGGGGTTCTACAAGTTAGTTCCGATGAGAACTTAACAGTGACTAATTCTTCTCTGCAGGCTAATTACGATTAAATTGACTTGGCCGTATTAATCAATTTACCAATTAAATGAGCGCAAATAAATAATTAAATTAATAAGAACTTTGTAATTTTATAATAAAATTTAAATTTTAAAAAATGCAATTTTTTCCAATTTTGTTTGCTAAACTTTTTAAAAGGATGGAACCACTTGAGGGCAGCAAGTGACCAAGTTTGCAGGTCAATCGAAGGTGGAAAATAAAAATATAACGTTTTTTGGCCCTAAAAAATATGCAACCAGAGGGGAATAAATTTTTAAAATATTAATGATTTTAAAATAACGTTTGCAAGATTGAAATTGGTCTGTTCTGAGGAGTTACAATTACAAAAATTGGATTTTCTTTTCATCCTATTTGAGTAAAATTGAGTAGGTTTCAATGCATTCTATTAAAAAATTGTAAAATTTGAAAAATTTCGTAGGAGATTTCATTATTTGATTTCATACTAATTAGTTTCACCAAATCGTAGATCAAATAACAAGATTTGATTCATTTTTGAGTAAAACTTGGCTGTTTGGCTTCCCTAGCTGTTTGTTGGGGCCAAATTGCGTGGAACCATCATGATTACGGTGGCGCGTGCAGCGAGAATTCAGTGTCCTGAGAGAGAATATTGGGATGATGGATGCCTCCTTTTATTAACGACGAAGCTAGTTGTTGTTGTCTTTGGCCGGCGACGAAAGGGAAGGACCTTTGCCGGGCGGAAGGGAAACGAGAGATAATATTAAGGCTGTCACTCTTTGACACGCGGCAAAGAAAGAAATAAAGGCGCCACCTATCATTTCGCGCCCATCTCGTTATTAAAGAAAGAAGAGTCTCTTTTTTCATGCCTACCTACCGAGAACGGAATCCAATTACCGCGACTAAACCGTCCATTTGCAATCTTCAGAATTAGTCCTTTTCGGTGTCAAGTGAAGCAACTAGATCCGATTTCAAAAACGCCGGAGCGCACAAATGTTGTAGCAAAAAGAGCGGAAAGATAATTCTCAAAAGCTCGTCCTCTGCTCACCCACGTTGTTGGTATGTTTTTTTTCTGTATATGGATTTTTCTGCTGCTCGTTATCGTTGTCGTGAGGCACGCAAAGCTCGTGAATTTTTGGGACTAATTTAAATTCTGACTGTTTGGGCTAATTTAAATTTATGGCTAAGTAAGCGAAATGAAAATAAATCATCGTGTTTTGTGAAACACGGCGCACAACATGAGGATGAATGCATTTTTTCGTGCGCGACACGAGAAAGCTATTACGCAGCGCGCGCGGAACTATGTCGTGACTGATTTTTTTCCGCTCTCCCGTATGTTTTGCTAATGGGAATTTCGCAACCCGATCCCGACCGAAGGTGTCTCTTTAATTTAGAAAAGGACACGAAACTTCAGCGTCACGCATCGCGTCAATCTAAAATTCCGTTCAATGCGGGATTTTTTTTATTTCATTTTGAGGCTTTTTGCTCGCGTACAGATGTGATTGCGCTCTTCCTCCCCAGCGTCTGGGCGACCCATCCATTTTTGCACCCTCTGCAATAATATCACAACTTAATGGTATTGAAAGAGATCGAGCGCGGAGCAAAACTGCGCGATACCAACTCGCTGCGGGGGCTCGTGCATAACATTGTGACAATCTTGGGAAATGCAGCAGTGATTTTATTTCCTCCGCGCGCTCTGGTTTCTTTCGCAAATGCGATTCGCTACACCAGAGATGCTGCTGGCACCAGCGGCGCTTTACATGTTGCTGTGTTCTACATTTTTGTATCAAATTTATCTCTGCGTATTCTGCTCAATTACGCTGCATGCACAATTTGTGTTTCGTCGAAAGCTTCATGGAACGGAAAACTGGACCTCCGTTGCCGCAAACGCGGTAGCCAAGGGAACGGCACGTGGCCTAGGATCAACTTAACGTTACATTATAATCTTGCGATAAAAAAGAAATAAAAAATAGATGACTACGAGATATAAGCTACTAAACTGGAAATAAACTAATTTTTGAAATTTACGTATTATTTTCTGAATATTAAATTATTGAAAACACAGAAAATATCCAATCGATATCAACTTTTGACCAACTAATTCTATCACTTAACAGGAAATCATACCTCATTTTCCGCCCTCTTTTGATCACGATTTTATATAATAATTTTTACTTAATCACAAAAACGTCAGCAAATTGAAAAGCCACAATTTGAAACAAAAAATTCACAATATTAAAACTGGCAAATTTGAGTAACGACCTATTTCACAAGCAAACGCGCTGCTCGCTGAATAATACAAAAATGAGCTACAAACCTAAAGACAGATTGATTGGGAGAGGAAATTTTTCTTGCTCATGAAATAGGGTCGCAGACTGTGACCAAAACTGGTAGAACAGTTTTTATTTTGAATAAAAACAATTTTTACAAAGAGGATAAAGCCCGAGTTCTTCACTTCCATGATCATCTCCTCAAGCGTCGATTTCTTCAATCATGTTTTAACATTTTTTTATTGGCATCAAGGAATAAATTTATTAAATAAGCGAATCTCACCACTAGACTAGGGCGAAAGCTGCAAATCCCAAACACAATTCGCGACTTGCGAGAGTTTTATGAAGCGGCGGCGGCGCGCATTTTGTTGTTGTTGCTGCACAATGCTCGACTAATGCCCGGAGCACGCGAATTTAAATAAAATAATAAATACGGCGCACCGAACATTAACATTTCAGGGCGTAATTCCTGGGCGGGCGCGCAGCACTCGGGCTGCGAACGAGCGGATTTAATCACAGTCGCAGATTAATTCAGTTGTACATCCCGGGCCTTTTGGCTCGTGCCCGCCATTCTCTCTCTGTGTGTTTGTTCATTTTCATGCAAATAAGTGAGTCTCACTTGCAACGTGCTTTCCGACTAATCTGTTGCACCCAGAATTTTAAATACAAAGAAAATGAAAACATTGTACGCCGCGCCATTGTCGCATTTTCTTCTTAATTCGCGACATAAATTTCGCGGACAAAAGCGGCGCAAATTTCCAAAGTAATTAAATTTCCATTTCACCGGGAACGTGCGGAAGTGGCGCCAAAATGCAAATCGAATGGATGAGTTATTTTTGCCGGCAAGATTGAGATTAGCCCGCGGCGAAACGGCACCGCAGTCAATTTGCGTTTGGGTTCAACTTACTTAGGGCGAGGCGTGTGAGATTCGCTCGCTTGTCGTCGTTTTGCGCCACAATTGGAGCCCGCGGGCCATACATTGGCAAATAACTTTCGTTAGCACTTCATTCGAGTCGGGGGCGGATATTCAATTCCGTGATAAAAAGCACAGAGAGGTCTATGCGTGCTGACAACTTTGCAAAGCCAGCATATTGGAAAACACTCAATGTGATAAGGCCATTTGCACTTTGCAGAAAAAAAGCTGGTTATCCGCGTCACGTCGATTATCATTAATGGCAGTCGGCGACGCTCTCATTCACGTGATAGAAGAAAAAAAACGACGCAATGCAAGGTGGGTCGTTTAACGTAATAGTTAGAATTAAATGAGATTGAGAGCAATTAAAAAAATATGTATCGACAGAACTTATTATTTTGTCATTTACTTTAGAGAATAAATATAAATTAATTAAATGGTTACTCTTTTAATTTGACATTTTCATTTGCTAAATGTTGTACATGGACTAATTCCCCTGATTATGATTGTTTTGTAAAGAGCCATTTGTTTATAAATAAAATCAATTTTTTTCAACGAGGAAGAAGTCCGAGTTCTTCACTTCCATGTAACAATTTCTTGTACTTACAATTAAAAGAGAAAAGAATGATTATTTGATTGATAGAATCAAATGACGATGATAATTTTGATTAAAGCTGAATAGTTATTAAATTATAAACTAATAGACAAAGAAGATTCAATTAACAAAAATTGGTTTTTTTATACATCTGGAATGAAAAAGGATTTTGATCATTATTTTATTTTGCAGTTTAGTAAGTTAATAAATATAGTGAATTATTTAAATTCACCTATTCAACTTTTGTTAAGATTCAATTTAAATTATTTTCTACCTGCACGATCTTTTCGATCTCTTTTTTTCTGCCCAGACGGGCGAACAAGACCATTGGTATGTGTGTAAGCACTTTATTTCCCAACGCCCCTTCAATTTCAATCATCCAGAATAAATTTCCCGAAAGAGTAAATTGCATGTATAAAATATTCGCGCGCGCCCCTGCTATGAGAGCGAACCTTTTCTCTCTTTCTCTCTGCAGATATCAGGGGATGTTAGGGGCCAATATATACAAACGTATAAGGTAGGCGCGCGCGAGAACGAGCCGAGGAATTGGGGCTTGACGAGAGAGCGAGCGAGCGCACCTTTTTTGGAAATCAAGTACCGTGAACTTTTGATGCTGCTCGAGTTGCTGAGAAATAAAATATTGCACTTGCTCGCGTCTCACCGACGATGTCGTCGTTATACACGGAGGTGCACACAAAAGATGGCCGGTTGCTCATTCATGGCCGGTGAAGGGGCTTTTCAAAAGAAGCCTCTTCACGCCCGCACAAGTGTCTTAACATTTTTAAAACCGAGAAAATACCCGTCGCGCGCTCATTAAAAATTATTTTTCTTTACTTGTGGAGGACCAAAAAGAAAAATGAGATGTACTCACACTCAACGTCGACTATGATCCTCTTGCTGACGGAGGGTGGCACTCCATTGGTGGCGATGCAAAGGTAAGCGCCCATCTCTGTGCGGCTGATCCGCGTCAGGTTCAGCTGATCCCCGTCGTAGACGTTCACTGAAACAGCGGAAGCTAAATTACTTCATTAACAGCAGGTCGAATGATTTGGGCAATAAATGAGCTCCTCAATATATTCAGTATATATTTGAAAGGAGAACTGAACTTAAAAGTCGGTTAACAAATTGCATTAATAAATTTATATAAAATATTCAACTGAAAATAAACGTGCCATATTTTTTTTATTACTTAAATGAGCATCTCATGAAGATTTATTAATTATTCAATAATTCAAATTATTCAATAAGCAAAAGTTTGAAAGTCCTGAAATTTATTGAAGTGAAATAATGCTTGGCATTTTTGCTATTTTTAAGTGGAACTCGCATCCCTTTATAATTTCCCATCAAAGTAATAGACTGCTTTGGATATATTCTAGGAAAGCGGCGCTTTGTGCGGGGCGAAAAACTTTTCTATGTGTGTGCACTGCACCGATAAAATATTCAAAGGATCGCTTCACTCGCATGACCTTTGAACTTATTGTGCGGAAATTTTTCTTTGTCTCGCCACCGACAAGCAGATAAACTTTTGCACTTTAGAAAAGAGAAAGAGCTCCAATTCATCGCGCTGTGAAAATCAGGCTGACTGCTCTCGGCGCATGCCGCGAAATATTAGTAAACTTTTGCCGCCTCTCTCGCAGAACAACTTTTCAAAACTACCTGATAATACTGACAGCGTGCAAAGTTCACTCAGACATCCCGAGCTGATGAAATGCGCTAATTTAATTAATAAAGCCAGATGTAAAATTAGCGAGAAAAAAGAAAGTGATTTCGCTTGAGCACTCGACACAAGAGAGGCTCGCTTCATTATGGCGAAAGCTTATTCTCTCATCATCATCGTCATTTCTCGCTCGCCCAGAAGCAGCCGCACTCGTCTTGCGCGACGCAATAATGATGCAAATTTGAGCTCAGGGAAAGGGATATAAATCAGATTAGGCTCAACAGAAGTATGTTTGTTCATTAGCATGTCTGACTTGACTCCGGCGCGCGCGGAGCCCTTTTGCTCGACGAGATGCTTGCCATTCACCCTTGGCGCGCTTAATCGCGTTAGCCCCTTCGTGAGAGAGCGAGCGAGCGAGCGAGTGCCGTCGACCGCCCTTTGAGCCACAACAAAAAGCGCCACCAGCCCGCTTTTTATCCGCCACCACCCCAATCCAATCCAGTCCGTTCGCCAGGCAACTTTTTAATTGTCGGCACTAATTGCCGGCTGTGGTGCTGATTTGCTCTGCTCACTTCCGGGGCCGTTCGCATTTAATCGGCCAATTTTTTTCCTCCGTGCAGCTGTTTTTGAAAGGGGGTAAATTATCAACGTTAAAAATCGTTTGAAGAAAAAATTAAAAAAAAAATTTGCTAGCTAATTTTTTTACAATTAAGGTCAGACCAAGACGATTATTGTTTTTATCCAATTTTATTTATATTTTTTAATTAATTAAATGTAAATATTTGGATCTATTTTCTTTAAAATCCAGATCCGGAACAATTAAAACCAAATTATTAGTGTCAATTAAAATGAACAGGCATTTTCACTTCAAAGAGTATGCAACTTGCATGACATTTATGTAAAGCGCATTGCCTAAAACATCCGATGCATCTTCCTGCACACGAGAATGTAGCAAACAACTAGAAAAATTATTTATGCATCTCAAATGGAATAATAATCTGTACAGAAATTTAAATAAAATAAGGAAAAAAAACATAAACTAACTTTTTAATAAAGTTGGAAGAGATTTAAAAGTTCCTGCTAAAAAAAAATCCTTACAGAGGATGGGAAAGTAAATTTGATGTTGAGAGTGTTTCCAGGGTTTCAGGACGCTTGACAATTATTTCGGGACAGTTTCCGAAACATGAGTGGTGAATGTCACGCTTTATTTAAGAGTTTAGTACTTTGATCAGACGCGCGGGCTGCAGCGAATTCAGCAACAAGCAATTGAGTGAGTCGCCAGGCAAGCAAGCAAGCAAGCGTTCTTGCGCGGCGGCGGCGGCTCTCAGCGGCACACAACAAACAGCAGCAACGCGCGCGTGGTTTTCAACTATGTATGAAGGCAACCCTTCTAAATAAAAGACGAGCGAGCCGACGGAATAAAAATATATTGCAGCACGAGCAGAGAACTTTCTTGGTCCATTGTCCGATGAATAAAATAACATGAATAATGTCTGAGCTACGTGAAGGAAATATTTTATTTTGCGGGTCTGCATTCCCTCAGATATTGGCTAAATATTTTATGTCATGCACCAACAGCAGCACCGTGCTTATAAAATCATCAGGCTGCGGTTTGTTTTTACGGCTGCGTGTCTGCCTCTGTTGTTTGCGTTTGCACGGCAGCTTGTTGTCTTTTTTTTGCTCACTTCTAACTCAGCAGTCATTTTTACGTTTTTTAAGTTTACTTGGTCTCATTTGGGCAACATCAAACACCTGCTTAAACGTTCACAAAAATTGAAGTCATTTAGTCAAAATGAAATATCATTCATTGAAATTTTCATTAACGTTTGGTCTCTTTCATTTAAATTGGCATAGCCAAAGTGATATTTTAAAATTCATCATTTCACTGATGCTTAAAGATCCTCTCCGGTCATTTGTATTGCTCTTTATTCTGAAAGATTGCTAAATTTTGAGCATATCTTGTGAAAACACTACTTGAAAATTCCAAGCCGTTGCGTCTCAATCAAAAGAAAAATTAAATACGAGTGATTCGTGCGAAAAACGTGTGAGAATTGAGAAGCCAATCAGATCCATCAGTTTGTTCCAAAAACTACAGAATTTGGTCACATTGACGCTGCGATCGCTGATTTTGCCACTAATGCCCCACGGCGCTGCAGAAAACTTGGCAAAATCAGCGATCGCAGCGCCAATGTGACCAAATTCTGTAGTTTTTGGAACAAACTGATGGATCTGATTGGCTACTCAATTCTCACACGTTTTTCGCGCGAATCTCTCGTATTTAGGTTTTCTTTTGATTGAGACGCAACGGTTTGGAATTTTCAAATAGATATACTCAAAATTTAGCAATCTTTCAGAATAAAGAGCAATACAGATTAGATTAGATTAGATAATTGTTTTATTCATTTGAGCACAAATTTACAGTCATCAACAAGCACAAAAATACCTCCAAAACATGTTAATGTTGCCCGTAGAACACGTCAAGTCATTACATGCTAATTAAAATTATGTTACGATATTACATAAAAAAACCTACGTTCACTGCGGCGGAAGGGGTCTTTGTGATCTTAAATTTTAGCAAAATTCTTGCCGTTTTGTCTAAAAATACCTTTTTTTAATTGTTTCCAGAAATTCAATGTCAATGTAAACAATGTGGAAAAATAAAGAACAATCAGAAATAAGAAAATAAATTTTATAAAAATGACCATGTTTGTCATGCAGATTCTCCATTATTTAATTAAATAGATCAAAATAAAATAAAACTAAATTTTATATTAATAAGTTTCCAAGAATTCAAGTGAATTGTTCAGGAAAGCGCGGGTCAAGCGAGCGTGAGGAAAAAAGTGGTTGAAGCAAAGCATTACCTTTCTTGCGGCGGTCAATTGTTATTCCTTGTCCGTCTTCTCTCCTCCACATGATTTTCGGCGACGGGAAGCCATCGGCCTTGCACGTCAAGGTAATATTTTGGTTCTCTCTAACGGCGACTGCCGACTGCGTGCTCTCCTCGTCCAGGATGTTGGGCGGAACTGGAAAACGTCAGAAAGCGGATTTGAGACAAAGGCAGGACGCGCCGCGCAACAACGGCAAAAACCGCCATTGGCACACGAAACATGTGTTTTTCCCGCAGCCCCTGTTTTATTTGGCGGCGGCGGCGACGATTAATTATGTGGTCATTTATTCATGCCTGCTACATTGGGCCGCCGTGCAAAACTGAATGCGCGCTGCGAATATTAATCGAGCTGGGCCACTGAAAGCCATTTATCAAGGCTTAAACGTCCATTTGCATCCGAGTGAGTGAGAGGGAGTGAGCGAGTCGGCACGAAATTAAGTGGATTTTGCTCGAGTGACACCTTTATTATTAGCAAACGGACCGACTCTCTCTCTCTCTCCCTCGCTCAACTGCAAACCTGAATGACCAACGACTCTGGCTCTCGGTGTTTTGCGCAATCATCTCGCGTTTCAAAGGCGCACTCTTTGCCTCTTGACAGACACACACGTTTTTGTCAGCAGACACCGTGTTTTGCCCTTTCCGTGATACGCGGCGCTCAAGTATTACTGCAACGGTCTCCGACTGACCCCAATCTAACGGGTGTTTATGTTTAACGCGCGGCTTTCCAGCTAATTGTGTCTGGTTTATTTCAGAAGTTTTCATTCAAGAGCGCATTTCGATCTATTTCAGCTCATTTTAGAAATATTGAAACGTAAATTCAATATTGGGCGTGTCAAACTGATTAATTATAATTAATTTAAAAAATAAAATTTTATTATTCTGCATGTCAGATAAAATAATTTATACTTCATTATTAGTGGAAATTAACAGATTAGGCTTTTCATCGTTGAAAAAAAAAACAATTTTTGCAACGAGGAAAAGCCCGATCTCTTCATTTCCATGATCATTTCCTCGAGTGTCAATTATTCAAACAAATCTTATTAGTCCTTGTAATTTACTTTTCTTGTCAAGAGTTCCAAAATGAAATGAGGAAAAGGAAAACTGCCGAGTTTCTAATTAAATGTTTTTAAATCGCATAAATGCAATTTTGCTGCATGTTTCAGTTTCAGCTACTTTTTACTTTACTACAATTTTAATAATAAATTGTTTCACATAATTAATTTATTAATTATTAATTCAATTGAAGACAGCAATAACTTCAAAATTTTAAAATTGTAAATAAAATTATATTTAATCTATAATAAATTTAATTAATTTTTTTTTTTTTTGTATGCAGAAGATTATAAAAAATTAAATTGATACTTTTATAGCAACTATTTCAACATCTTCCGTAAAATTGTGCCACCCACTCTTTTGCACCGTACAATATCGGTGCATAATAAGCGCAATCAGTGCTTTTTTGCAATCCTGCAAAACTCGGAGATGACAATAGTGCTGATGCAGTGGGGGTGAAATAACATCATTATCATTGCATTGAGCGTCGGCGGCAGCGACGAATGTGAGCAAGCAGAAAAATCAGCGGACACTCTCTTGTCAAGAATGTCATTCTTGTCACGATTGCATTTGAGCCACACTAGAGCGACCGAGACTTTCCTGTATGCAGTCGATTTCCATTCGCTTTTATCGAAGACGAATAACGCAAAACTTAATAAGTTATTTCGGGATGAAATAAACCAAAAAATAAATTTTTTAAATTGAAGAACAAAAACTTTGTCAACCGAGGATCGCTGCGGCGGATGGGGTCTTTTTGATCTCGGAAGTTTTAGCAAAATTCTTGCTTACTGTGGTTGTGCCATTGTGTCCAAGGTCCGCGCATCACAATAATTTTGATTGTTGCCGAGCGTTCTGATTGGGTAATAAAAGCGTATCCACCGATCAGCAGGCTGAAACAACAATCTAAATATGTTCCATTGTTGTGATGCGCGAACCTTGATTTTGTCTAACAATTGCTTTCCTTTCAAATTGCAGAACAATGGAATTTAAACAAAATTACGTAATTTATTGAACCCAATAAACAAATTTCTGAAACTAAATGGAGAAATAATAATGAATTTCATAATAAAGATTATACCGTGGCGGTAAAATCTAAAAAGAATTTTACAAATTCAAATATTTACTGAAAAATTAGCATTATGGTAAATGCATTGTGGAAAGCAATGAATTCAGTAATTAACGAATTGTTTTCGCTGTACAGTGAATGAGATCACCCGATAAAACTCCGTGTGCAGAGTGGACGGAATAATTTTGCAGTTTTAATGGAGCAGAAATTTCACCGGCACATTTTTCACGGTCGAGAGCGTGCGGCGCGACCCGAGTGCGGTGCATTATGCATGTCGGAATGATAAATTTGCACATGATGCGAGTTTTATGAGCTTGACACGGACACCGCAAAATGGCTAAAGCTGCCATTTTAGCACTGCCCCGACGACTTATTGCATTGCACGTGAAAAACGGCGCGTGTGAAATTGGTCGAAATCAAAGGGCGATCAGTTTGGTGCCGCGGCGGTGCGGTCACGCGATCGCCCCTGCCTTTAATCTGCGCGCCCGTGTTGTCTAAATTAATCAACTTGGTGTGTTTGATTAGTGTGCGCCTGCATGAGCCAGCGGGCCGAATTTGTTTCCCCGCTGACGAGTTTTATGAATTAAATATCATAAGCGTGCCCGCTCTGTGTGTGTTTACACGCGGCGCAATCTCTCTTTTTTCAGTTGATTAATTTGACGCAACGAAACACGTGAAAAATTATTCGCTCCCCGGCCGCGAAAGCTGATCCGCGGTAATTAGCTTGGAAATATTATCACAGATTCACTTCGGCGCGCGTGTGAGCGCTCTTAACTTGTTGCAAGTTTTGCTCCTGGCGTGACCAAAAAGTGGCTAAGGAGGGTGTTGGCAGAATACAAAATCTGATATGCACGTGTGAACTCCTGATTGCTTTCTCGCGTTTCAGAAGTTAATATAATAAATCAAACTGCAAACTTAATTCATATAAAAATTGCATTGGTCTTCAGGGCAGAATGAACTATTTGAAATGATTAAAATGGAGAGCAAACTGAAAAAAAAGATATTCATATCTCTTTATTTCAAGTATTCTATTGTTTGAATGTTACTAAAACAGTTCATATATGTTGCCTGAAAGATATAAATCGTCAGACATTTTAAAGCGGCAAAACCATATTTATTTAGCGTATTTTACACGATTTTGCCTCAATTGCAAATAATCGTGTCAACAGTTTTCAGTCCTGCAGGTGGAAGACCTCGATTTCATTTATAACAAACTTTGAAAAAAGTTTAAAGAAAATTTCAGAAATTCAAGATTTTGATGATGATAAATTATATATCTCGCCGCGATTAATGAGATTAAAACGGCAAAAGTTGCACCAGTTTTATCATTTAGAAAATGTGTTGCCTGAAAGGTATAAAACGTCTGATTCAGACCATCAATTAAAGAACATTTAAAATGCTTTTTAAAAACGTGAGGAATTGTTGAAGAACTCGCTCATTTAATAAAGTTCATGGTTTTCAAAGTCATTTTAAAGCGGCAAAACCATATTTATTTTGCGTATTTTAAGAGATTTTGCCCCGATTGCAAATAATCGTGGCGTCAATTTTCAGTCCTGCAGGTGGAAGACCTCGATTTCATTAATAACAAACTTTGAAAAAAAGTTTAAAGAAAATTTCAGAAATTCAAGATTTTGATGATGAAAATTTATATATCTCGCCGCGATTAATGAGATTAAAACGGCAAAAGTTGCACCAGTTTTATCATTTAGAAAATATGTTGCCTGAAAGATATAAAACGTCTGATTCAGACCATCAATTAAAGAACATTTAAAATGCTTTTTAAAAACGTGTGGAATTGTTGAAGAACTCACTCATTTAATAAAGTTCAAGGTGCGCAATGTCATTTTAAAACGGCAAAACCCTATTTTATTTGCGTATTTTACGAGATTTTGCCTCGATTGCAAAAATCGTGGCGACAGTTTTCAGTCCTGCAGGTGGAAGACCTCGATTTCATTAATAACAAACTTTGAAAAAAAGTTTAAAGAAAATTTCAGAAATTCAAGATTTTGATGATCATAAATTATATATCTCGCCGCGATTAATGAGATTAAAACGGCAAAAGTTGCACCAGTTTTATCATTTAGAAAATATGTTGCCTGAAAGATATAAAACGTCTGCTTCAGACCATCAAATAAAGAACATTTAAAATGCTTATAAACAACGTGTGGAATTGTTGAAGAACTCACTCATTTAATAAAGTTCACGGTTTTCAAAGTGATTTTAAAGCGACAAAACCATATTTATTTTGCGTATTTTAAGAGATTTTGCCCCGATTGCTAATAATCGTGGCGAATATTTTCAGTCCTGCAGGTGGAAGACCTCGATTTCATTAATAACAAACTTTGAAAAAAAGTTTAAAGAAAATTTCAGAAATTCAAGATTTTGATGATCATAAATTATATATCTCGCCGCGATTAATGAGATTAAAACGGCAAAAGTTGCACCAGTTTTATAATTTAGAAAATATGTTGCCCGAAAGATATAAAACGTCTGATTCAGACCATCAATTAAAGAACATTTAAAATGCTTATTAAAAACGTGGGGAATTGTTGAAGAACTCGCTCATTTAATAAAGTTCACGGTTTTCAAAGTCATTTTAAAGCGGCAAAACCATATTTATTTTGCGTATTTTACAAGATTTTGCCCCGATTGCTAATAATCGTGGCGACAGTTTTCAGTCCTGCAGGTGGAAGACCTCGATTTCGTTAATAACAAACTTTGAAAAAAAGTTTAAAGAAAATTTCAGAAATTCAAAATTTTGATGATTAAAAATTATATATCTCGCCGCGATTAATGAGATTAAAACGGCAAAAGTTGCACCAGTTTTATAATTTAGAAAATATGTTGCCTGAAAGATATAAAACGTCTGATTCAGACCATCAATTAAAGAACATTTAAATTGCTTTTTAAAAACGTGAGAAATTCTTGAAGAACTTGCTCATTTAATAAAGTTCACGGTTTTCAAAGTCATTTTAAAGCGGCAAAACCATATTTATTTTGCGTATTTTAAGAGATTT